TATATACACCAACATATGCCCAACAAGTACCTGTATCAGAGTACATGATTTGGGACATGGTTTTCTCTTTAAATGCATAGTGTCATTATATAAATTATTCTATAGTATATTTAATAAGGAGAAAATTACTTCACCAGTACAGATACTTGATATCAAGTGTAGAATTTTTTCTACATTATTAACATTATTAATTATTAACATTATTAAAAATGTTCTGTCCAGCTTGTTATCCTTTTGGTTACTAAAACAGTCTGCCTGTACTGTATCAGAAAAAAAGAAAATAATCTGCCAGTATAAAGCAATTACAACACTTGTCTGTCTGAATGGGAGGTAGTTATTTGGCTTGTTGGAAGAGTTCTATCCTGGTGTTGCGTCTGATATTTATAGATGTTATTCTGTTGGGTGCCTTCCTCCCTCTTCACTTTAAATAGGATCTGTACACAAACTGTGGATGTTACAAGGCCATGCCTACACACTTAAGTCCATTTACTGTAAATAGGAATTTTCTGTAAATCTTCCATGATAGATGGATGGTTAAATTTAGTCCTTGAATATGCTTTATAAATTGTCCATACAATACCCAAGGACAGCCACTTGCAACTAAAGTTAATTAAGAAGTGGAATTTGCAACATTTTGTCAGGTCTAGGGGTTTTGTTTTTATTTTTCATTTATACCTTAATTTACATAGTCATGTGCCCTTAAAAGTATTCCTGTCCCCTCTTCCCTTCATTTTAGATATTGTTTTCATGGTAATTCTTAAAAACTGATGGATATCAAATATCTAACTAAGGAGGTAATTAACCTTTTAAATATTTATTAGAATTTTTCTGTAATATTACTGAATTTATAAGATCTTTAGCAAAGATTTTTGAGCAATTTATTAAATACAATGTTTCTGTTTACTGCACTTTTTGATAATAGGAGGTAGTGAATTTTAAAGCCATTATTCTTGGCTTCCATGCACTGCTTTTATACCCTCAATCCAAGGAATATATATATATAAATAATTTTTTTTAAACAGCAAACATACTGTTGTCCTAAAAAGAAATACAACCTTTACTGCACCATGGGTATATTTTCATAAGTGGAATGTTTAATTGCGAACACTATCAGGACAATTATAAAAACCTCTTGAAGCTACAATCTTATTTAAATATAAGCCATGACAATTTTATTTTCCCTTGTTGATTTAAGTCACCTTTTAATATTTTCAAAGAGAAGAAAACTCGTTCTTAAATTTGTATGTACTGACCTATACATAATGCTAGGAACATGTTTTCCCTGTTGTTTTAATTTTAATAGTTTGATATATTTATGGAAGACCATTTGGTTAACATACACTCACCCTGTTACTAAACGTTCAACATAACAAGACCAGAATAAATGCTGATTACAAATATAAATCAGTTTGAAGATTAAGCACATAGACTTCAAAAACCTCGTTGAGTGATAGCTCAAATTTCTGTAAATACACGAGTTTAAATGCAATTATACTGTACATGTAAATATATGCTGTCTGTTATGTGTACAGTATGTATAAATTCCTTTTCTAGCCACAATAAAATGTAAGCCATCAAGAGGAATACTAAAGTGGTATTGTACTAAACCTTTGCTAATGATCTTTACCCAATCACTTAACTTTTCACTTTCATGGACCTTTCAAACTCACTCTTATGAATAGCCTGCTTATATTCAAGTTTGTTATTTTACTCAGTCCCAAAAGAAGTATTTTGATTCATTTTGTAAATATGATTGTAAAAATAAGAGATTTAATGTTGTCTTTTAAATACTCCAATTTTCATTCTAATATGAATGTTGTTATATTGTACTTAGAAACTGTACCTTTAATATTACATTACCTTTATTAAGTGCATTGAACACATCGATTTTAGATGTGCTTTATGTACTGTTATCCTGTAATAAAACTTCAGCTTCTAATGGAAAAATCTGTCTTAATTTGTTGTCAGTAGCATCTTTTTTGTTTTTCTGAATTGTGGTTTATTAGGTTTATTCCTGAAGGAATGCACTGTTACAAAATTAGGCTGTGCTTCCAAGCCCATATGTCTGTGCTATTTAGTGCATACATCAAGTAATGTTTGGCAGCAAGGAAACAAGACAACTCCTGAGCACCTTTTAAGCTCCTCTTTTGGCCACCAAGAGCTTTAAACCTCCTCAGAATCAATTGGATTAATCCTTGAAGGTGTTGTCTAGTTTGAAATCACAGTTCACTGCATCAAGTGCAACACACAAGAAGTCTGGCTTAAGAGCCTCCCAGTGACTTTGGAAATACTGCTTTGGGCTAGATATGAATGGGGATCTGAGTGTCAAAATTGATGTTTCAATACAATTCAGGCATCAAAATTCAAAGTTGCAGCTCCTCTCTGCTGTGCTAACTTTGAGTGCACCTGAACGTCAGCAGCATGCTTGGTAGTAGGACTTCAGGCATGTAAAATTCTACTTCTGCACCTACCCAGAAATGCCACAGTCTTTATATGCCTGGCCATGATCCAAAAACAGGTATTACTCCGGTTTGAAGCACTGTATCTGGAAGCAGGCTTCACCTGCAGATCAGGTCTGCAAAACAATTACTGTAAATAATTGTTTTCCCAGGACTGCAGCACTAGGTAGTGCCATTTGTTCTACAGCTGCATGAGTAAAAGCAGTCTTTGAGACACTGAAAATACAAATTTAATTTTCTCATTCTCAGGACATCATGCGAAATCTCTTCCTGCACAGGAGTGTTCCTAACCACCAGGATAAAGGTTAGGAAACAACTATATGAACAAATGTATCTGTTCTATATAAAACACAGGAATCTTTCTGAATTGAGAGACAAAATGAGGATTCTGCCCATGATGAATGCTGAACTGTAGGTTTAGGAGGTGGTGTTTTTGACCCCCAACACACAGAATGGGTGGGGTTGCCTAGAATCAGTTGCCCAGGAGCATGTTTTGAGTATCTCCAAGGTTGGTGACTCTAAACCTCCCTGGGCAACCTGTGCCAGCCCCTAAGCACCCTCAGTGAAAAAGTGTTTCCTGATGTTGATGTTTATGTCACAGAAGTAGATTTTTGGGAGATGCAGACTGAAATAGGATTTAACCAGTCACTTCACAATTCGAGACGTCTTCTAATCATTTGGCTATAAAACTTATCATACCTGGATTTTGAAGTAAGATTACTGCTTATAAAGCTGCCTCCATGACTGTGGGCTCTGGGCGGACCCAGTAGGGAGACAGAAACCTGAGATACGCAAACCTAAAAAGTGCAAAATTAAAATCAAATTACATTCTTAAAACTGATCTTCTAACAAGCTAAGGAGACTCTATTGTTGGTGGGTTTGGATATCATTCTGAATTACCTCGGTATTTTTACGTATTTGTTTATAGTGCCCAGAGTTTTAGTTAAAGGACATGGGGCTGTGAACGCTTTGCTTGCTTGATGCCACAATCCTTCCCTCATTTCTCCATCTGTAAAGCTGTGATGGGGATCACCTTTCCTTTTAACACCACAAATAGATGGGTACTTCCCTCACCTAAACCTACAGGTACTGAGAAAAATTCAATTCCACCTTTACCACACCGGGAAGCCTCATCACCATCATAATGATGATGTCCACATCCAAGGAAACTGGAGGCCTAGAGGAGGGAAGCTGGTAAACGCAGCAACCTCCACAGGGCACCTGTTACACGCGGCCGCCAACTCCACTCAGGCCGCCAAGCAGAACCCGGCCCCGCCACCGCTCACACCCTGGGCGGGATCTGCCGCTCGAGGCACGCAAGTGCTCAGGGCCACACCTTAGTGAAAAACGGTGGTGAGAGCGGAGCACACAACGCGGAGAAGCCCTAGGCGCATTTCTACCCCCGGCGTGGCGGGGCCCAGAGCGGCCCGGGCCTCAGCAGCGCGTTGCTCTCCCTGCCGTCGCTATCACCCTCACCCTCCCTAGTCTCCGCTGCCACAAGATGGCGGCCGCAGGCCCTGCACCAGCTGTTCGAGCCCGTGCTGCTATTGGCTGGGCCCCCAAC